TTATCACAACACAATGTTGCTGAAGGATGCAGTACCAGAAACTGTCTGGTTAACTGATCGAACAAGCTGATTTAGTCAATCAGTTAGTAAGATCAAGTGACGGAGCTACAGTAGTCGGTTATGTGTGAGTCAGGTGCCTGCCCTTACAAAAAATTGATAAAGATTGTATAAAATTTGATTACACAACCACACTAGACCTCCCCCTGCAATAAGGGGGTGGGAGAAAAAATAAACCTGCACCAAAGCTCTACTTTCTGTCTGTTCTCGGTTCTCCGAGCCATTCTTGAATTTATAAGGACTGAACGGTACTGTAAAGAGACTTGAAGCAGTGTTTGAGGGTTTCCAGCAGGGAATCTCGTATGAAATAGGTTACAGGTCCTCTTGATGTTTATAAATATGTGATTATTAATATAGATCAAGCTATTTACATCGAACAACATCATATCAACCAAGAAATGGTTTACTTTTTTTCATCCTTACCTGCTCCCGATTCTGAGTCCAAACAATGCGTGAGTTATTCACAACAAGTTGAAGCCATGCTGGTAAGGATGCATCATAGTGACCTACAGTGACAAATTCAATCTTGCCCTCCTTATTTAGTTGCCAGTTTAGTAAGTCATACTTGGCTGCAGGATCTCCATTGTCGTCAAAGAACACCTGTTCTCCATTTTTGGTTGAGAAATTAACTCTTTTCAAATAATGAAGCACCTAAAGTGATGTATGTTTTTATAAACAAAGTGAAAGACAGTTTGAAAGGATTATAATAAAAAAATGATGAGAACAATTGTAGATTGCTATGCAAATTACCTGCCATGGTTCAGTCTCCAATATGTTTAGGCATGTCTTATTTGCAAAAGATTCCTGTCCATTTTTGCAAGTGAACATATTTTCCAGTGCATAAGCAACTGCATACACAGCTTTATAGACATTATTGGCAATTTGTAAGTCATCTGTGTATTGGTTATGAATGTCTCTTAAGTTTTCAGTTCCAGTGCACAGATTTGTGTTTTCAATCGTGTCCTTGATGGTCAGTCGACATTTGAATATTGTTTCCCACAATTCATTATAAATAGATATGTTGAGGGATGGATGAACATTCAGTAAAAATTCTTCCAAGCCTCTAATTTTTACTTTAGGGATTGCAAATCCCATTGATCCCAGAAGAATATGACTCCAGTGAGCAGTGGCAATGTTTGATTCAGAAATCCAGGATTCACTGCCTATCCACTGCAAACCAGTTACATTCTGCAGAGACAGTTCCCTTAACAAAACCTCCATATCCAAATAGGAGATGAAAGCTACAATAACCTTTGAGCTAGATGTCTTTATAATCTCAACAATTCTAAAAATGTCCTCCCTGGAGTTGGTCCTGAAGAAAGATTCTGAGTACTCCACGCAGACACCCTGTTCTTGGGCAGCTTGTACAAAGGTAGCCATGCCATTGTTGCCATAGTCATTGTCACTGCAAATGGCTCCAACCCAGGACCATCCAAAGTGCTTCACAAGCTGAGCCAGGGCTCTGCTCTGATAATAGTCACTGGGGATGGTTCTGAGAAATGAAGGGAATTTATTTTTGTCACTTAAACATGCACAGGTTGCAAAGTGGCTGATCTGAAATGGAAAGAGAGGGAGAAATGTCTTTTGTGGAGAAAAACATCTATAAGAAAACCCCTGTTCATTCTTTATTATAATTTTCAGGAATTTATTTTTCTGCACAGCACTCAGAAAATTCACTGAGTTTTAACTAAATCTGTGTATTCATCACCATTTATTGTCAAGCATGACATTACCAAAAACTTACCACTGGTATCTGAAATGGTCCGACCGATGTTGAAATTGCTATTGTCGGCGATGATGATGTCTCTGCTATTATTGCTTGAACTGTAGCTGGCCTGGTGCAAGGTGTGTCAGAGAGATGTTCCTCAAGTCCATTGATTAACAACAGGGCTGCTTTTACTGCCAGAGCTATAGAGCCACACGAATCATAGATCTTATAGCCCAAGGTAATGCCAGGGAGAATTTCT